CGCTTTGCTGATGACATCGTTCTAATAACACCAAACATCAGCCAAGCAGCACAAATGCTGAACGACTTTAACCGTGAATGTGGAAAGGTCGGACTACAGCGGAATCTTACGAAGACAATGTTTATGAGAAACAGCCTTGTTCCTGACGCTCCATTCGCTCTCAATGGAACCACCATCTCCGAATGCAACAGTTATATATACCTAGGTCAAGAAATCAACATGATGAATGACCTGGCACCTGAGTTGCGCAGGAGGAAGAGAGCGGCTTGGAATGCGTTCAAGAACGTTGTAGAAATAACTAAAAGGACAAAGAACCTCCAGCTATGAGCACATCTCTTTGATTCCACTGTTCTTCCTGCATTAATATATGCCTCAGAGACCTGGACCCTACGAAAACAGGATGAGAACGCTATTCGGGTCTCTCAAAGAGGAATCGAAAGAGCTATGATTGGAATATCACGATTCACTCAAATGAGAGATAGAATCCGGAGTTCTGATCTTCGTCAACGCTCAAGACATCATTTGCCAAGACATCAAAAATCAGATGGGCTGGACACGTAATGAGGTTTACAGACAACCGCTGGACTAGAGCCATTACTGACTGGATTCCATGGGACATCAAAAGATCACGTGGACGCCCGCCTACAAGATGGTCAGACTTCTTCGTCAAGACCCTGAATGATCGGTTTGAGGCTCTGCATGTTCCTAGAACGAACAGATACCATTGGGCTACGCTAGCACACAACCGGGATGAATGGAGACGTTACTGGAACCCACTCGAGTAAATCGATGAATAACGGGGATTAAGTGATTAAGTGATCACCTTAACTGCTTAGGTGGGCATAGACAAAAATAATCTATGACATTTCAGCACCTAAAAGGTAAACCATGAGATGAAAAAAAATTTGAAATTTTGTTTCATTAAAACAAATTTGAATTAAGCAGCACGCTATTTGTGACTAGTGGCTGTGCCTGTTGGATATTATAAATTTAGAAGTTGGTGATATTTCACTTTTTGATTCAGGTGGGCACAAAAAGGATAGATGGGTTAATATGCCAAAGATCACATAGGTATTCTTGTGTTCTTTTTCTTTGTTGGTATGACTGTAAAACTGGTTTTTTACAGTCTGAACAAGGCTGAACAAGTTTTTTACAGTCTGAAGTCACGACAACCAGACTATGGATAATTTTGTGCAGTTGACTCAGTATAGCATAGAATGTGAACTTCTCATACAAAATTATCAATTGCTACTAAAGAATCAGGCTCTTGGGAGTTGAAGATCTAGATTGATCAAGATGCCAATAATCCTAAAGCACTGACATCTTGATAGAAGCCATTCTGGAGAACTCAGCAGGGAGTCTGGCTGTGAGAGGTAAAGTCCTGAGCAAGAAACTTGAGGAAAGGGACATTGCCAAAGCCTATATGGTACTTGGTTGGTTCCTGCTTCTAAAGAAAGACAAAACCATCACCTGGGCATGACTGAAAGATACGTGTGGTGAATACAACTATATCTAGTGCCTGCCTGAGTGGTGTTATGATGCTCTTTGGAGCATTTCAATGCCCGGCCCGAGCACTGAGTCTCAAGAGTCTGCAGTGCATTGAGGATGCCTCACCCATCACCTAGAAAGCAAAACATTACTGTTGCCCTACTCACTTTCAGTGTGAAGCACAGTATTTGGGGACTTCTCTACCTTTGCCATATCAGCATTTTAGGGATTTTTACTCTTGCATACATCTCCCTTGCCCTGCCTGTTAGCGTTGACAATTGTCAGCTTTCATCAGCAGACCCCTGGCCCCATTCAGCACCCACTCTTCTTAACTTTATTTTGTGTGATGACATTTGCCTTATCTTTGCCAGAACAGTCACAGAATTTAAAAGTTTTTTTAATCAATAAAGTTCATCATCTTGAAAAGAATCCAGTTCACGCTTGGACCTTTCACACTGAACAGAATCAAGTTCCTATGACACATAGTAAGATATTATATAAATATATTGTTGTTTAAATATACTATATACAAGTATAAAAACTACATAAATGAGCTCTTATTTACTCAAATATTTAACTGGTGATATCTCTAGGAAATTTAATGCTTCCTGAATACCTCATGCCACTTTATCAATAAGTATATTCTGTCCTTGCCCTTTTGTGGCAGATATTCTCTATTGGTTAACCCAACCCCAATTTCTGGTAACTATTTTGGTGGAATAGTTCTGGTCCTAAAATTCCTAAGAAAGTTATGCTTTCCTCATGCATACACTGCCCCTCCCCTTTTCTTCTTATTCCTCTAGCGTATGAAATGCTGAGAAGACCAGAGAAACTTTGGAGCTTATATTACCTGGTTACTGAACCATTATCTGTACCAATCTACTCTAAGCTTCTCCTAAAGAAAGACAAGTAGACCTATGTTAGACAAGCTACTGAATTGGGCTTTTCTGCTATTTGAAACTCAAAACAGTATAGGTACATTTTTTTGTTTGTTTGTTTGCTTTTGGGCTACACCCAGCAATGCTCAGGTCTTACTCCTAGCTCTGTGCTGAGTTGACTCCTAGCAGGCCTCTGGGGACGAATACAGGGTTCCAGGGATCAAACCCAGGTTGGGTACACGCAAGGCAAACTCCTAACCCTCTGTGCCTATCTCTCTTGCCTCAGATGTATTTTAATTCTATGTTGAGTTTAAACACTTGGAGAATACTTATTGTATGTTCATTCACATATTCCATAGCAAATATTTTGGAGGTGTAATCATCTTAACTAAATGCATGTGTATATGGTGGATGTAACTATGGTACACATATATATATACATATATATATATGTAAACACATATACATACACACATACACACATAAACTGCAGATTCTGGATGGGAAAGCTAGAAATGTAAATTAACTTCCAGAATTCTATTGCTCACAGGGGAAATAACTAAATACTGAATTTATTATTATTAAAGCCGGTAGGTTTGTCAAGACTAAATGAAAACTATAAACTGGAATACCCTCCTCGGAAAAATTTAACTACTTTACAAATGTGACCCACAGAATTGGTTGCAACTGTTTTTGGGGATTCAAGAACCAAAATGCACTGCTACAGAGCATGGTATAGATAGGGGAAGCTCTAGAGCAACCCTACTTTTGTATTAGAAATAAGCTTTCTTTTTTTGTCTCCTTATGCTTTATTTCTTACACTAAATTAATTTGTGGTCTTAATTTGCTTACCCAATGAGAACTGTCTTTGAGAAGTAGGCATTTTCCACCTAGAAGTAGCTTCTTATTCATGGCGACCACTTGGTTTTATATGACTAAGTCTTTCTAAGCCTACCATGCCCCTTTTATATTGAACAGACATCAGATCTGTATTTGAAGCAGAAAGTACTAAGTTTTCCACTATGAGGATAAATGAAATGAGAAAATACTGTTCGAATATTAGCTCCCTATTGGATAGCCTGCCCTTCTCCAGCAGGGTCTTTTTTGTTGTAACTCCTAAGTTCAGGCTGACTTTTCCTTTCTATGGTTATCTGAATATCCACTGTCTAGAGTTATGAACTTGTTGTATCCCTTCAGGATCACCTACTTACATTGTTTTACACTTTACACTACGTATGGGGGGAATTGAAAAGGAGCAGCATTAGGGACCTTGGTAAAGGGAAGAAGGTACACAGGTAGTGGGTGTGGTGTTGGAATTAGGTGAAGAGGAAGTTGTTATTGAAATATTATAAATCACAGAACCTCAATCAATAAAAAAGTTTTTTAGAAAAGGTTCTCACTCTTCAACCTTTAAGTCAATTTCAACATTTACTTCCCTCAATTTCCATATGCCAACAGCTCATATTTCCTAAAACTGTCTGCTCTTAGTGCAAAATATCTTGGTTATGTTTCTCTTAATCAGAACCTTTTATTCTAATAAAGGTTACACATTTCTTCAAAAATTCATGTCATGTTCTGGAATAAAATTATTTTTCACCATGGCCTTCCTCATCATTGAACTCTTATTATATTTTCCCATGCTGTCTGACAGAAGTAAAAGTGACTAGACAGGGACTAGAGTGATAGCATAGTGGGTAGGGTGTTTGCCTTGCACGTGGCCAATCCGGGTTCAATTCCCAGCATCCCATATGGTCCCCTGGAAACTGCCAGGAATAATTCCTGAGTTCATGAGCCAGGAGTAACCCTGAGCAACGCCGAGTGTGACCCAAAAAGCAAAAAACAAGTGACTAGACAAAAAGCCTTACTTTACTTCAGCATGCACAAGGCAAGTTTACATTAGGAGGAGTCATTATACAACACACAGTTTCAGCTCCCTATTATTGCATGTGGCTCAAAACCTCAGGATGCGTCACATAAGAAATGCTCTGTCCTCCAGGAATTTAGATAATGCAAAGGGCAGTGTTAAAAAATAATTACATCGCATTCAGTTCGAATTTGAGTAAATATTCATAAAGAGAAGCACAAGGAGTTAAGAGGATGGGCAATAACGAGACTGGCCTAGTGTGAGACAATGTGTACCTAAGAGCTGTTGAGTTCCACAGCTATTTAATGGGGAAGATAGTTACTAATCATGCTATATACATTTTCTACATGAAACGTGACAAAAATGATGGCACCAGGGATAGCTAAAACCATTTCAGGTAGCAAAGAGTCACTTCTTCATGAGAGTAAGGATGGGCCAGTTTGTACAATTGATGGAATACAATGAGATTTCTTTGGATGGCATCCTAATGTAGGATTGATCAATGATTTTTAAGCGGCAGATATCTATACTGTTTCTGTGTAATCCATTATAGCTAGTACCTTTGTGACAATGGTCAATCATTTCACCAATTCCCAGGCCCCTTATCTTGAAAATCAGAAGATGCAGACAAGCCTGTGAGTTTAGTTTGGATCTTGGCTCCTCCCAAGCTCTGGACAAGGAGGAGTAGAAAACTCACCTGCATTTTCCACTTATAATCACCACCCCATCATTATAATCCACGATATGTATATTAGTAATGTAGCTCATACCTTTTTTGAATGCTCCCCCACGAAGCATTGATGTTCTCTGTTATCATGTGAACCTTTCTGGTATCATCTGCTGGATAATTCTGTAGAAGTTTCAGTGCCAGGTCATTTGCCATATCTATGTTTTTCTGCCACTGGCGGAGGTCTCTGGCCAACTGCTATTGAGGATTGTGAGAAAGAGAACACATAAAAGCTTTGTAAAAAAATCTTAAGTATTTCCTAACATTCTTTGTAAATAGCTTTTGAATACTTTGGTCAGAACACATCTTCATGAATTTTTCCACTTAACATATTATTTAGCAAATTAAGACAGTATAAGATAAATTGAATGTTGTTAAGGACTAGAGTTTTTAAAAGTCAAATTTAAAATAACATTCCATTATATGATTATGTAAGTTTCAAGGCTACAGCACTGAAAATTAACATGTATGTAGCTCACATTAATTTTACCACTGAAATTTCACTTCTAGAGCTGGAGAGATAGTACCGTGGGTTGAGCACCTGTCTTGCACACAGCCAACACCCCAAGTAGTCCTCTAAGCCTACCAAGAGTGATCCCTGAGCACAGAGTCAGAAGTAAGTCCCAAGGATTGACTTGTGTGGTCGAAACCTCCTCCAAAAATATGCCAAATTCTCTCCTTCATTATACATGTCTTCTGTGTTCCAATTTAGTCACTCCTCCCCTTTTTTCCTGTAGGTAAGCACTAATTGTTTAACCAAAAAATTATTTTATTTAATTTTCTTCATTTATTAATTAAATTGCATGGTGCTTATTTTTCTCCATTTGATTTATTTCACTAAGGCTGATATACTCTAGGCCAATCTGTATTGTTGCAAATAATAGGATTTTATCTGTATAGCTAGACTTTACAGCATTATGTGTCCATTTCATATCTTTGTATCTACTCATCTTTTAACAGGCACTCAGATTGTTTCTAGTTCTTGGCTATTGGAAATGGTACTGAAATAAACTTATAAGTGAATTTTAACTCTTCTAATTACTGTCTATATTTAGGGGGCTATCCCAGAAGCAAGATAACTGGATTGTACAAAATATCCTTTGAGGTGCTACAGTTTACAATAGTATTGAAATTTTTTGTTTTATACTTACTGTGCTGCTATATCAACTATAGCCCATTTTTAAGACAAATTTTCAAATGCAGCATCTTTAGCCATCTTTATCCAATATCTAATATCCAATATTAGACAGTTCAATTTAATACTAACTGGAAATAAATTTGTATTTACTATTTTTTATCAATGATGTGAACTATGAAAATAAATTCCTATCTAATTGTTGAGTATATAACAGATTACCAAATCAGATCATTTCTTCATTAACTTGTTGAATTGTTTATGTAATTAGTGCCATCTACTGGCATTCAACAAAACCTGCAAACAGAAAACATTGCACATCAAAAGAACAGTTGTGTTAATCTACTTCTAACTTTTGGGGAAGGATCAGCTTACTTGTAATAAGGAACATTTTCTCATTCAAAAATTGGTGAAGAGCCCAAGAATAGCCGAGATAAGTACCAGAAGGTTTACTCCATGGCCTGGAGCCCAGCCACACACTCTAGGGGTAAATGCAGTTCAGACAGAGAAGGGAGCACCAAATAAAGGGTGTTGGGAAGATCCACCCAGGATGGGAGATGCATGCTGAAAAGAGTATAGACCAAACATGATTGCTACTCAGTTCCTCTTTTGCAAACCACAGCACCCAAAAGGAGAGAGAGAACAAAAGGGAATACCCTGCCACAGAGGCAGGGTGGGATGGGGGGGATGGGGTGGTAGGAGGGATACTGGGATTAGTGGTGGTGGAGAATGGGAACTGGTGGAGGGATGGGTACTCGATCATTGTATAACTGAAACCCAAGCACAAAAATTTGTTAGTCTATGACTGTATCTCATGGTGTTTCACTAATAAAAATTTTTTTAAAAATTGGAGAGGGGGTGGAGCTATAGCACAGCGGGTAGGGTGTTTGCCTTGCACACGGCCAACCCGGGTTTGATTCCCAGCATCCAATATGGTCCCCCAAGCACTGCCAGGAGTAATTCCTGAGTGTGTGATCCAGGAGTAACCCCCTGTGCATCGCTGGGTGTGACCGAAAAAGCAAAAGAAAGAAAGGAAGGAAGGAAGGAAGGAAGGAAGGAAGGAAGGAAGGAAGGAAGGAAGGAAGGAAGGAAGGAAAAAGAAAAGAAAAGAAAAGAAAAGAAAAGAAAAGAAAAGAAAAGAAAAGAAAAGAAAAGAAAACTGGTGAAGGGATACTGGCACATTTGTAGTGGGTATCTTGCAGAACCATTGTACCCCTAAAAACTTTTACACTCTTATAAAACATTATCTTGATTAAGTAGACATTTAAAAAGTAGAAAAGCATTTCAAATAAAGGAATCTTACTAAACCAAATGACTTATGTTTTCTTCTTTGACTTTGGCAGCTAGGATTTCTCAACTTATACATACCATCATTTGAAATATCATGTTTCAAATAAAAACAGAGCAATGATAAGTTCATCTGGAAATATGTCTACCCAAAATGTGAGTTAAGCACTAACTACATGGAAAAGGCTTCTAAGCATTTAGAAAAAATCAAGTTGCTGATAGTCATATAAAATTCAGCACAGTGGGAGTAAACTATTTCTTTGAACCAATGAACGGAGAAATAAGAGCAGACAATTCAAATAAGAGAAAGAATCAACTTTTTGATGCAGAAGGGGAACTCTGAAGCAATTCTCAGGAGGCCCGGGGCTCCTCTGAATGACTGGCAGCTAACATGGTAGGTGATTCAGGGCCAGGCAGTGCCTAAGGAAATAGTGCTTGCCAGTGCTGAGGATGATTTGGACAACCCCCCACACACTCAGGGATCTCCAGAGCTACACACAGCAGTGCATAGGGCATCAGTGGCTGTACCCCATGATGCTCAAGGAGCCATATTAAATGATAGATACTGAACCAGTGTCAGTTGCATGCAGGACCTGAACCTCATGGCCTGCACTCTCTTTGTTCCCATCAAAAAATAATTTAAAAAGATAAAGATCTCAAAGAGCTGCCACATAAATAAACTGTTCCAGGTAGATGTGTCTCCAGGCTGAAAACTCTGACCTATTTAAATGGAGGTGGATAGATTCCCCTCCTTTTCAGCTATGCACACCAGCAGTCACTCCTGACCTCCTCTGTTACACAAATCGGGTGAGCCCAGCTCCAAGGTTTCTAAAGCATGTGAACACATATGCAGTGGCCCAACACCACCTCAAATTTCACAGTACATACAGTTCAGCAGAAGCACTGCAAATTTGATGGGAAGTTGCAGAGGGGCCTACCAAGTACAATGAGGGAAAACAATAATCCCAAACCAGCACCAACCAGCTCATGAAATCCTCAGACAATGACTTTAGAAACACCCTTGTGAGATATAAGACTACTTTTTCACAAATTTATTTCTATTCATCTATGTTCTTATAAGTTCATTTGCCATTTTTTGTAGCAATCAACATGAGTTAAATTTGTTATGTGCCTGTCAAGGGGGTAGGCTTGAGGGCTGAGAGGAAAACTGAGGATTTTGGTGGATAGATGGCCACAAAGGTAGTGGGAATGGTGTTAGAACATTGTATGCCTGAGGCATTTGTACTATGAAAAACTTTGGGGAAAACATGTTTTATGAAATAAAATACAAAGAAAAAATTTTAAAAATGGATTATGTGTTGCAGATCACAGTGCCCAGAAGTGGGAGAGATGAAAGAGGGGACAGAGAGGACAGAGAGGAGAGAGAGAGGAGACAGAGGAGACAAAGAGAGGGGGAGAGAAATGAGGTGAGAGAGGAGACAGAGAAAGAGGGGGGTGGAAGGAGGAAGGGAAAGAGAGAGAGACTGCCATAGAAGCAGGTTGCAAGAGGGGAGTGGCAGGAAATTGGGGTTATTGGTGGTGGGAAACGGACACTGGTGGAGGGATGGGTGTTAGATCATTGTATGACTGAAACATGATCATGAACAGCTTTGGAACTGTATCTCATGGTGACTCAATTAAAAGATAAAAATTTGAAAAATCAAGATTATACAATTTGACACCAATTAAATGAATAAAACAAAGTTGAAAGCTGAAGACTCTGGTGAAAGTAATATGTTTATATTCTATTGTTGGGAACAGTATTTATCAGGACAACTGGCAACGGGATATCAAGTGCCACACAAATGTTTACTCTCTTTGATTTAGTAACCTTACTTTCTGTATTTTCATCCTAATAAAATATTTACTAGAAGAGAAATACATTTTAGGAATAAAGTTCTTCATTAACTAAGACAGTAAAAAATTGAGAAACAATATCAATGTTTAATAAGAAGATATTAAAATAACTTGCTCCATGAACCCAGTAGTCTAATAAGCAGTAAATGGGTATAAAACTCACAAGTTACAAACAGGATAAATCAAATTCTACCTACACTATAGTTCTTAAATTGATAAGGCCACATATTAATATACTAGAAGAACAGAGAAAAATTAAAATAATTTATATTTCTGAGATGATTAAACATTTCTGCTTTAATATTTGTTTTTTATGTACTATAATCATATAATTAAATCAAACATAAGTACTTGCAGTATAATGTCAGTATTTGGGGAGCAGTAATCTCTGGCTCACTAAAATGCATAATTTATGTAAAAGCTGACATTTCTCAATGAACTAGAGCATCATATTCTAGGAACAAATCAAATAATTTCATGAATTTTATAAAGCAAATAGGCACAGGTTAGTAAACTGCTAAAGTCATACTCATTAACCTTTGCTATGAAAGCAAGAGATAGCTCTTAAAGGCACAAAGTTTCTACTATCATGCAATTAAAATTGATCTTGTGGAATGCCTTCTTTTCCTCAATTACTATGACTCTCTCTTTTCCTGTTTTCAGATCTTCAAACAGTTCAAATCTATTTAGAGGAGAAAGTTTTCCCTTCCAACAAATTATCATGAGTACAAATAATTTCTTCCCTTCACTTTCTTAAGTTGAACCTATACCTACTTTTTGAAAAAGTAATAAATATTATTAAAGACCAATTAACCCGTATAATCCAGAGAATGGTGCATGCATTTCAAAACAAGGTCTAGTTATTTATCACTTATTAAATCTCTAATTATAGCAGAAAAATCCAAAAACTAATACTAGT